GAGATGAGATTTAATACCAGTAAATTAACTTTGTGATTGTAATACATAGCGAAAGCCCTTTATGATTTGATTAATTGATGCATTGATGATTGATTATTGTGTTTTACCCTGGAATATTATTTATTGGTGAACCTATGCCCTAGGCTTTTATCAATTGATTTCTCCCTATTTTTATCTCCCTTAGTTTAATTCCTTATATCTATAATTTAGTTACTTTATAATTTAGATTATTTTAATAATTAGGAATAGGAAGACTTGTTTCCCTATGGTTCGACCCTTCTTCCCTATCTGCATAGTTAGTGGAATCTAGGAATTATTTTTGATTTGGTGATACGACTTTAGCCTGTCATATGTAGACCTATTAATCAGGGTCGGGTCAAGTCATGATTCATGTTGGATGGGGTCACTTTAGGTTACGGGCCAAGAAATATTCAACCCCTAAAGTTTTGGTTCGGGTCAACCCAATGGGCTTTTAACATTTTTTTTATTTAATTGATTTTTTGCTAATTTATTTTTATGTATTTAATAGAACATTTTCACAAATATATTATTATTAGTCATTACATACATACTAGATAGCAAGTCGTCCCAAAAGCACATCAATTGCTAACTAATTTTGTATCAATGATATATTTTAAATTTGACATATAGATTAAAAAATTATCTTAAAATTTACCAATAATAAATAACCCGAGCATCGCACGGGGCACAAAAATAGTCTATAAATATAACTAAAGTAATTACCGCTGATGTCATTACTATACACATGTCAAGTTATAAAAAAATTTCCCGCCAAAACTAATAATGACACAATTTTTTTTTCAACAAAAATAAAAGTTTGAAAATGGTGAATTAATTATTTTGTATCCTAACAAATTTTATATTTAAATTGACTAATTATGTAAATTCCATTGGAGAAATTAAAGGAAGGTCAAACTATTTTATTATCTTATAAACATTTTAATTTTCTCCTACTTCGTATATTTTATACATATTATATGAATTGAGCTTTCCGCTCTTTATTAGTTCATCAATTTATTAGATTTTGCTTAAATTATTTGTACTACATACATATTAGTATATTACACACAAGTAAGCTAAAAGTATTGTTACAATCGTGCATCACACGAGCCTAATCTAGTATTATAATAAAAGTGAAACCATAAATGACATTTGTCATCTCCTTTTTAAAAAAATTTACGCCAAATTTTTATTTTATTTTTTTATTTGCCAAAGCTTCTTAGAGAATATTTATTACAAGGAAAAGCTATATGCTACTCTTAGGATTGCATATAAGAAGCTAAAAATGGAAATAATGGACATTAAGTTAATATTATTTTATTACACTAATTTACCTGTGAATTGTCGATAAATTTCCAACTTAAAACTATATTAAATGCTTATATGTAGCCCTAATTGGTAATATTTCCCAACTAATTGGTAAATTTATTCCATTTTTAGGCATGCAACAAAACATTATTTGTTTATTTAATTCTATGTAATACTTCCTCCGTTTCTATTTAGTTGACGCTTTTGATTTAAGCACATATATTAAGGAGAGGAGAGAGAGTGAGAGAGAATAAAAAATCAAGGGGGGTAACTTGTAAATGCAAGAAAAAAAGTTACCCCGAAAGGAACGTGTCAACTAAAAAAACTTTCCCAAAATGGAATGCATGTCAACTAAAAAGAAACGGAGATAGTTGTGGGGAATAAATTTCAAGCGTTAATCCCCTTGCTTGAACCCCACTGTGATCATACACTAAAGTACGGTGACATCCAAAGGGAAAGAAGATAGAACAAAAGAGTCGCCAACAAGTTTTAGGAACTTGTAAACCGTTCACAGGGTGAAGGTTACACCCCTTAACGATCCAAGAGATCGTCAACTCCATAAGGTCTAGAACCAAATAAGGGTTCGGGGATGAAGGTACAAATCCAACCTAAAAGAGATTGAACCTGCTCTAATAATAGGCCTCTACTTTATTTTGATCGTATTCATGTGCACTTTCTGATTAACATGCAATCAATAGGATTACCCTAAACCTGTTTATCTATGTTGGTTGAATATTAATGCACAAATAAACTATTATTGGCGATCACTTGAAATATAATCACATTAACCCTAAACAAGATTATTAATTATCTTATTAAGCGTGATTACAAATACAAATTCCCTTTAAACATGCATAAAAGGCGTGATCAAGCAATAACAAATAAATATATATATCAAGCAACATAATAATAATAATAATAATAATAATAATAATAATAATAATAATAATAATAATAATAATAATAATAAATATCATGATAATAACAATCATCATAACAATAATCAAAATAATAATCATAATCATAATCATAACAATAATCATCATAATAACAATCATATTAATCATAATAATAATCATGTTAATCATAATAATAATAATTATAGCAATAATAAAATTATAATCATAATCAAAACAATTATAAAAATAATCATAAATCATGTTAAAGCATAATAATAGCAAGATCCTAGGCTACTAACAAGATTAATAACAAACCCTAGCATGTCACTAAGAAATAAAAATCAAAGCTTTAGCCCTAACATGATACTAACAATCATAAATATTAGGAAGAACATAGGAAGCATCGTAACAATCATATTTGACATTAAAATTACCCTAGACATGATATTAGGAATATCATAATAACAACCTAAACATGATTTCTACATCATAACATCAATAAATCAATTAAAGTACTTACTTTGATGCCTCGTACCTCTTTCTAATAACAAAATACACACGTTAGTAACTTCAAGGAAAATAATAAACAAACAATTAAATTAAATAATTGAAATAGAGATTTGGGACCAAACCCTCAGAAATATCAAACCTTTCACGTCTAGGGCGAAGGCAACTTCGAATATGGCTAGGTGTTTCTAGATCCGCAATTTTGTATTTGAAAAGCAAGTTCAGAAAAGAGAGAGAGAAAGATGGTGAATGGTTAAAGAGAATGAGAAAATTGATGATTGAAAACTTGTTGTAGGTGAATGAAAACGGAGTTTTTACGACGTTATTTATAGAGAAAATCAGCCAAAAAGATAAAATTAACAAAACAGAGCATAGGCGCACAGAAAACCGAGCCAGCGCCAACGTTGGCTGTTGGCGCCAGGCGCCAACACTGGTGCCAGGCGCCAATGCTGGCGCCAGGCGCTATAGCTGGCGTTTGGCGCTGATTTCAGAAATTCACGCGTTTTCTAAAATCAAATAAAAATTACCGTACAGGAGGATAAAATCGTATTTTCCTCAAAAATGCTCTTTGATTTAAATTAAAACTCTAAAAAGTCAACAAAAGTCAATTTATCAATGCTAATTGAATTAGGAACGAAAAGAACCTTCTAGAAGAATCTAGGAGACTAAAACCATTCCTAATTGCATTAGGAATGATAAATCATATTAGGCCCTCTCCTAGATCATTGAGCCGCATATAGGGCTCAAACCGGGCTTAGTTCAGTAAATTGGCCATAACTTCCTCAATATTCATCGGAATTGGGCTTATAATATTTTGTTGGAAAGGTCTTTTCAAGCCCCATCCAACTACACTACTATTGGACCCATATCATGGACCAACAAAACTGGATTGGCTGTATTCTTAAAATAAGTTTTCAAAAATAGAGAGAAGAGAAAAGAAATTAAAATTATCCGCAACACTAGACTTTCCACACTTTCACTTCATTCGATTATGGTTCGACGTGAAAGGTACTCATCACTGGGTTTGGTTTTGGGGAGACACAAATGGGTGTCTACAGTAGTAATACTTTTGTTCCTTCATTTGACTTTGTGACGTAATCATAATTATTTTATTAATCGTGCATGTAATACTCCCATTATATTTTCTTTAGAATGATATAATTTTATTTTTATTTTGTAGTTACAAATTTTTATCATATCTTGCAATATGATAATCATATTAAATATAGTGTTAAACTAATACTCCATAAATAGTGAAATTTACTGCATAGCACGAAATCTAATCTAGTTTAAACTAAATCAGACCACATAGATGAAATTAAACTGCATAGCACGGATCCTAATATAGTTTAAACTAAATCAGACCACATAGATGAAATTATATCGGAGGTGATTAGTCTTTAGACACATCAATACCTCCCCTTTTCCCTTACAAAGAACATTAACGGGGAACGGGACACTTCCAATCATGGAAAAAAAATACGGTGGTAGTCGTGTTTGCGGTAACGGTCGCGTTTTCGCGAAAACGGCTTATAACGGTTAATAGAACGGATCGCGGATTTCGCGACGTGAATTTTTTTAAAAAAATCACACAAGTATAATTTTTAGCTTGTTAATTCACGTGTTTTGTATTTATACCATATTATGCCTAAAACTATTACAAACATTAAAATTTCAATTCAGAATAGAAAGCCCACATACGTTTTTTTATAAAAAGGGTAGAGAGGGGTAGTTAATGGGTCACAGCTCACCATAAAGGTAAAATAAATAAATGGGTAAAAAAGATGATGGAACAAAGCTGTCACAAGACTCACAACTGCAGTAAAAATGTTGAAAAAAGACAAAAAGTGGAGCAGCATGTGACTCTTTGACTCAACTTTTTTACTTATTTTTTCATAAAAAAATGTACTTCCTTCAACTTCCGTTCTTCAACCCCCGGTCCCCTGCTCCCTCGCTTCTCTTCTTTCTCCATAGCCATGCTAGCACTGATACAAAGAAATGGAAGGCTGTTTCCGAGCATTTCAGCATGCCTAAACCGATAACTTGCTAATGTAACGGTTTTAGAAAGGCGTTCTACCGTTACGGAACGGCCAACTCGCCGATTTGGGTGTGAATTTCAACTCGACATTATATAACGACCTTTTTTAGAACGACAAGTCTAAAACCCGTTACAAAGCGGGCGTTACATAACGGAACGGCCGAGTTTTTTTTCCCATGCTTCCAATCCAATTTGGTGAACTAGTTCCACACACAAAATTTGGAGGAAAAGTTCAGTTGATGCAAAAATTAAAATCAGTGTATTAGTTGTGGTAGTAGTGTGCAACTTGTCCGTAACCCAAAAACAAAAGAACCGCCAAAGATATTCCCTCTCGATCCTATTCTTTTGGTGCTCCCAATTTCATAATCTTCACGCTCTTCAATATCATTTAGCCACACAAATTCATTTGTTCTTCTCTCTAAATTCATCATTTACAGATATCATTTATGTACTAATTCTTCAATATCATTTGCCTTTTGCTTAAATTTCAGGTAATCAATTTATGTCCCAGAATTTGATTTTCTTGCTTTATGTTACACTTGGTTATCTATTTTCAATTGTTTTAGTTGAATTCGAACTTTAATTTCAAATTCATGATCTTATTTTGATCATATTTATCGCACCCATTTCGAATCTTCATGAAGTTTTTTTTTTTTTTTTTTTTTTTTGCTGAAAATCAATTTTTACGAATTTAGGGATTTAATTGGTTGTTTGATTTCATTTTTTAGGGTAATTTGTTGAAAAATGGATCGTCTTAGTTCACCAGCACGGCTAATGATAGTTTCAGATCTTGATCATACAATGGTAAGGCAGGCAGTTTAATTTAATCACTTAGAAAAATTATCAAATTTGGAGTTTTTGATCTGAAAATGAGTAATTTCTGCATTTTAGGTTGATCATCATGATGCTGAGAATCTCTCTCTTTTGAGGTTCAATGCTTTGTGGGAATCAAATTATCGCCACGATTCGTTGTTGGTGTTTTCAACTGGAAGATCTTTAACCCTTTACAAGGAGTTGAGGAAGGAGAAACCCATATTGACTCCAGATATCACAATTATGTCAGTAGGCACTGAGATTACATATGGTAAATCTATGGTGCCGGATGACGGTTGGTTCGATATTTTGAGTCAGAAATGGGATAGGAATATAGTTATTGAAGAGGCCAAGAAGTTTTCTGAGCTCAAGCCTCAGGTATATAGTTATGCTTATGATTTGTAGTCTTGTATTAGTTGTTTAAACTTGGTGAATTTGCCTTCTTGAATGCAACAACAACAGCAACATAGACTTAGTCCCAAAGAGATTTGAGGTCGGCTAACATGAATTGTCATAAGGAACCGTAAAGTGTAAGTGGATGGGTTATAGGGAAGTAAATTCATCTTCAAATGTTATTTGTAAATCAAGAGTATTTTTTGTATTAGTTTTATTATAGGGAAGTATCATAGTTTAGTCTATGTGCGGTTGAGGTTGAGTGTATTGGCTGGGAAGTGTTTTGATGTTGGAGAATAATGATCGTGTCTGAAATCTGATTGTTATTTCAATAGAGCAATGTTCCAGTCAGACCATTTCATGTAGTTAGCTATGTAGGGAAAGTAGCGTAAGTGAAATGGAAGAGTCTTTCTCTGCTCTAATTATTACATGATCGCAGTATATGATTTACTTTTCTGTATTTCTTAGCTTTTAAGTCGATGCAGGCTGAAACAGAGCAACGGCCACACAAAATTAGCTTTTACGTTGAGAAAGAGAAAGCGCAACAAGTGACTAAGGATCTTTCCGAGAGATTGGAAAAGTGTGGGGTAATAGCCTCTTATTATTGTAAAACAAGATTTGATTTAGTTTTGGATTCTTATTTTTCATCTCTGGAACTTAATTCTCTCTTGTTTCTGAAATTGGTGGCTTTGATTATTTTCCAGTTGGATGCAAAGATAATATACAGTGGAGGGATTGACTTGGATATATTGCCACAAGGGGCTGGAAAAGGACAAGCACTTGCTTATTTACATAAGAAGTTTAAGTCCGAGGGTAAACTACCCATCAATACCCTTGTATGTGGTGATTCTGGAAATGATGCTGAGCTCTTCAGCATTCCAGACGTTCATGGTGTCATGGTTGGTTGCTAGATCACTTATTTATCACAGTTTCATATTTATTAAGGCAGATGCGGTAACTTTTTCTGTAGTGAATGTATTGCAGGTTAGCAATGCTCAAGAGGAATTGCTGCAATGGCATGCACAAAATGCAAAAGGAAATCCCAAAATTATCCATGCAACTGAAAGATGTGCTGCTGGAATAATACAGGCTATTAGTCACTTTAACCTTGGTCCCAGCATCTCTCCTAGAGATGTTATGGATTTTACTGAATGTCAACTGGAGCATGTGAACCCGGGTCATGAAATCGTTAAATTTTACTTGTTTTATGAGAGATGGAGACGTGGTGAAGTTGAAAACTCTGAGTCGTACTATGCAAGCCTCAAAGCAGTTTGTGTATGTTATGATTTACCTTCACTATCCTCCTTTTGAATGTTTATTTTGCAATTACCCATGATTGCAATGCATGTCTTTTTTTAACATTAAATAATCTAAGTCTTTTTTTAACATTAAATATTCTAAAGAGTCTTTTTTTCTTTCCTATGTGTCGTGTTCTTTCCTGAGACAATTCACTGACTTTACGCTGTAGCTCTTTTCCTTATTCCACCTATTTAATAAAAGTATGCTTTGTATTGTGTTTTACATAATATCTTTCACCAATTCTCACTTATTGTGCTGTTGTTTTAGCCGACTGGATTTCTTGAGAATCATGTAGTTTCATTCTTTCCTAATATAGAGCATGATTATATTCTTATAACAAAAGGACATTTTTCTTTTATTGATCACCATCTTAAAGTTGAATTGAGACTTGACAACTAGCCAAAATTTTGAGTATCTGGTAGATTTTAATACTCCAGTATTTTTTTTTTTAATTGAAGTTTCATTGTTGATGATGTAATCTACATTTAATGAATAAAACCAAAAAAAACTTTTAATGCTTTTGTTTAGTTCAGTGGAATTGGTTATGTTTTCTTTTACTTGAAAGTGTTTTTTTTTTCTTATGCAGTGATTTCAAAAATGTATTTTGCAAAAGCAGTGGTGGACTGTCCCATTTTAGTCCAAAGTTGGATAGCTTTGTAAATTGTATTAGGTTGAGAAGGTTTTGCAAGTTGATTCATTTATTTTTATGTTTGTTATTAATATTTCTTAGATCACAAAATCCGTGTTATGAAATGCTGTCCTTTTAAGGTACCCAATTTCCCAAGTTTTCTGATACTTAGCTTGTTACCCTTGGAGAAAAATGAATGCTTACATGGTATACTCTTATGGTGCTTATCCCTGTTGAATAAGCATTTGTTGTCTTTCTAAATATAAAGCCTTTTTCCTGTTTGCATTTGGTGGGTTGTGGAAGATATATTGAGAAAATCTTAATGAATTTACCATCTTTCTTTCTGATACATCTATAATCAATTTTCGTCTGTCTTCTATTTTGATCTGGGACAGCACTTGGTCTATGGATTATGTAACAGCTAAATGTAACCATATCGTTGGATTCTATCTTAATAGCATAGTGGATAGTACTTTGTTCCATTGTGTTATTATTGTACTTACTAATATTCAAATCTTTGAGCTACGTATATTACTCATAAATTATTCTTGTTTCATTTCCATCATAACAGCATCCTTCAGGGGTTTTCATCCATCCATCTGGGGAGGAGCTCTCTCTTCATGACAGCATAGATAAACTTAAAAAATGCTATGGAGATCGTCAGGGAACAAAGTACCGAGTTTGGATTGATCGCCTTTTGCCAACAAGGATAAGTAATGATGCATGGCTAGTGAGTTTTGATAAATGGGAATCGACTGGTAAGGACCTTATTTTAAAAGAAATTAATTATTTTAATTCACTAACCTTACTTTCATGCTGTATTAATTTTGCTCTGTTTTCATGGTATATTGTAGTGATATTAAGTTGTTTTCTACCCTAGAAACTTATTGTCCTTTGGTTAGTTTTAAGGAAAGTAAAAATGGCTGGAACAGTGAACAAGACATTGACATTCTATGTATTTGATGCAAACTTAGATGATTTTTTATTCTTAACATGTGAATTGTGACAGAGTATCTGGTAAAAAATTCTGTCAGATCTGCTTTAGGACCAGTAATTTCCAGTTTGGATCTTTATTGTGAGTGATTATCCCAAATATGTAAAAGACAAGCCATCACTTATTCTGGAACAATAGCCAAAAGATAAGACATCACTCATAAAAAGAGAGGGAATTTCTTGCTCTAAGGCACTGGTTGGTTTGAAGTTAAATGTTTTCAATAAAGAACGAGTTTCATGGAAAACCACAATCGCAATTAGTTTCCTTCATTTTTTGGTTCCTTACAAGAAAAGTTATAGAGATTAAAAGTAGGAGTGGAAAGGTGAGGATGTATGAGATGAAAGTAAAGAGGATGGAGGAAAATGTGCCTTCCCTTGTTTTGTAAAGGAAAATGTTTTCCAATATAGAGATTAATTTTCCACCCATTCACAAACCAAACAAAGGAAAATGCGGAAAAATCATTTTCCATGAAAACATTATACATCAAACCAAACACACCCTAAACTGAACAAAGAGAGAAGAGAAGGTAATTTAATAGAATAAAGAGTGCTACAAGAGAGAAGGTATAGGAGATAGAAGAAAAGGAAAAGACAATTGATAAGTTTCAAGTGTGTAAATCCTACAAGTGAGAATATAAAGGAACTAGAAGGAGCTAGTTGGGTTGACCCCTTATTTATCTGCTGTTTAGGTTTGGTAAAATTTGGACATGGAGTTAAAGTTTTATGTTCCAAATTTATAAAACCAGTTGTTTTTCTGCTCATTGTCAAGACGAATAAAATCTAGTCAGGACTAGAAAGGACAAGTCCATGAAGTACCTTGAATCTTATTGCCGTTTTACTTGTCTTATGATATTGATGACTTGAGATGTCGAGTGGGAAGTTGCTGTGAATGATATTTCCATTGGAGCACGTGCTGTGAATCTGTGATTCTGTGAAGAACAAATGAAATGTTTGCAGCTTAACACAACTTTATCTGATTTCTGTTCTGAACGTTAATGTTTTTAATATTGATTATGAGAGAAACATCCATTTGGTTTTTGATGATTGATCGGGCTTCTATGGTGATTGACTTTATATATAAAGTAAGACACTGCAACAACCCAACCTTAATAATATTAATACCAATTGAATCGATAAAGGTAATTTTCATTTGGACGGACATGTACACCAAGAAACAACCCTTTTAAATCCTGACTTGAGGTCATTTGATGTTAGGCTTCAGCTTTTTATTTTATCTTCTGGATTTCTTCGTTTAACCAAAACAGTTCATCCATGAAGAGATTTTTGATTTGTTTTGCATGTAATTAACATTTGGCTTATGCTTTCAGGCGAAGAGTGCCAATGTGGTGTCGTCACAACTCTATTGAGATCTAAGGCAAGTGCAAGACTCTAATATATGTGTCCATTCGCGCTCTGTGTAAGGTTCTTTGAGTTTGACCATTTATTGTGCAGGTTGCCGACTCCTTAAGTGACCTGTTATGGGAGCATGTGCATCAAACATGGTTGGATGGGTATGCTGCGAAGGATCAGAACTCATGGATGTTGTAGATTTTCCCACCTTGTGCTGGATGGAGTGTTGATCCAAGGGGTGTATTTTTGTAAAACTTCAATACTGTTTTAGTTGTTGGGATGTTATCATCCTCGTAATAAACCAAAATGCTTTGCGACATTTTCAATTGCTTTCAACGCTCAAACAGATCAAATATAGCATTTTCTGTTTTGAGAAATAATTCGTGCATATAACAAATTAACAAACGTACTCGGATTTATCAGCTCCCTTTTCTGCATTCTCTCTAGTGAAGTTTGCCGAGGTAATAGTTTCAGCCTATTGAGATTTGAGACTATAGTGCTAGCCCACAAGCCTAGAGATTTCACGCTTCCACAATTCCACGACACAGTAGAGTTAGCTTTCATTGCATTTTTAATACAGGAAGACTTAAACAGGTAGGCTCCATATATTCTTTGAGTTTGACATGTATAGCACAGTTGACACCACCATTGTTGAAACTTGAAAGTACACTCTAGTATACGAAGTAACTTGTTTTTATTTGTTTTTTGGACATGTAGTTGGGCATACAAATTATCATTATTTTACTTTTGTTTAATAAAAGTTGCTTGTAAGAACTAGTAGAGCTCATTTTAGTAGCTTGATACCCTTACCCGAGCCATAATAAAACTATTTTGGTCGATTGGGATGGAAACATCTCTAGTAAAAGTGCGCTCGTTGCGCCAACGCCACAGCCACCAGCAGGTAGTAGTAAAAATTAAGGACCAATCATCATTAGCACTGGCCTCCATTGAAATCAAATTGTCTTTTATCCACTGCCAGGTCGAGGCAGTTTGCCACTTAACATCAAATTGAATGCCAAAATCTTGTCCAAACCATTGTAGCAGTTGGACATTCACGCAATAAATGGCTTACATTTTCCTCAACAAACCGACACATAAAACACCTTGGGTCCCCTGTCAAGTGTCGAAGAAAACGGGTGCATTTTTCATTAATTTTCCATGGCTAGCAAACCATAAGAAAAAACGAATTCTCTGCAGAGCTCTCAATTGCCAAATATGCTTCCACCTTGCTTTGTCTTTGGTCACATTATCCTGGCAATTGCGCTTTATGTGGATAGCTGACTTTTTAGAGAATCCCCTAGAAGGAGTGCCCTTCCAAGAAATACTATTGATCGATTCCTCATCTACCATTAACTCATGGGATTCAATGAACTTTAAGACGTCACTTGGCAGAAAATCAGCAAAGAGTTCTAGCTTCCACCCCCTATTTTCATCCCACATATGGTTCACCTTATAATCAAGGATATCTTCCGGAGGTCTAGCCACTGTATACTCAATTAAGGGGTCACTTATAGCCCATTTGTACCACCAAAAATCTATGGAAACATGTAGGGAATAAATTCAAGCTTTAACCCCATAGCTTGAACCCCACTGTTATCATACACTAAAGTATGGTGGCGTCCAAAAGGGAAGAAGATAGAGCAAAAGAGTCGCCAACAAGTTTTAGGAACTTGTAAGCCATTCACAGGGTGAAGGTTACACCCCTTAACGATCCAAGAGATCGTCAACTCCATAAGGTCTAGAACCAAATAGGGGTTCGGGGATGAAGGTACAAATCCAACCTAAAAGAGATTGAACCTGCCCTAATAATAGGCCTCTACTTTATTCTGATCGTATTCATGTGCGCTTTCTAACTAACATGCAATCAATAGGATTAACCCTAAACCTGTTTATCTATGATGGTTGAATATTAATGCACAAATAAAACTATTGTTGGCGATCACTTGAAATTATAATCAAATTAATCCTAACAAGATTATTAATTATCTTATTAAGCGTGATTACAAGTACAAATTCCCTTTAAACATGCATAAAAGGTGTGATCAAGCAATAAATAATAAATATATGATCAAGCAACATAATAAATCAATAAATAAGAAATATCATGACCATAAAATTATAATCATCATCAAGATAATAGTAATCATAAAAATATTAATCATAATAAATCATAACAATTATAATCATTATAATCATAATCATATTCATGTTAATATTAAAGCATAATAAAATAGCAGGATCCTAGGCATGATACTAACAAGATTAATAACAAACTCTAACATGTCACTAATCAATAAAAATCAAATCTTTAGCCCTAACATGATACTAACAATCATAAATATTAGGAAGAACATAGGAAACATCGTAACAATCATATTTAATATTAAAATTACCCTAAACATGATACTAGGAATATCATAATAACAATATAAACATGATTTCTACATCATAATAAATCAATTAAAACCATTAAAGCACTTACTTTGATGCCTCGTACCTCTTTCTAATAACAAAATACACGCGTTAGTAACTTCAAGGAAAATAATAAACAAACAATTAAATTAAATAATTGAAAAAGAGATTTGGGACCAAACCCTCAGAAATTAAAACCTCGTCTAGGGCGAAGGCAACTTCGAATATGGCTAGGTGTTTTCTAGATCTTGTGAATGCGGAATTTTGTATGTCAAAAATTAGTTTTGAAAAAGAGAGAAAGAGATGGTGAATGATTAAAAATAAGAATTAAAGAGGATTGATGAGAGAATTGAAAACTGATTGTAGGTGATTATAATTGAAAAGCTCGTTGTTGATGAGAATCGGTAAGAATTGGTGAATGAAAACGGAGTTTTTAATACGTAATTTATAGAGAAAATCAGCCAAAAAGATAAAATATCAAAACAGAGCACTTGGCGCACGCAAAACGAGGTTGGCGCACGCAAAACAGAGCTGGCGCCAAACCTGGCTAATTGACGCCAGACACCAATGGCTAGCACCAGGCGCCAATGGCTGGCGCCAGGCGCCAAGCCTGATTCCGGGCGCCAATGCCTGGAGTCAGGCGCCAGGACTGTTTTTAACGCGTTTTCGAAAATCAGATAAGTTTGCCGTACTGGAGGATAAAATCGTATCTTTTCCTCGAAAATGTTATTTGATTTTAATTAAAACTCTGAAAAGTCAACAAAAGTCAATTTATCAATGCTAATTGAATTAGGAATAGAAAGAACCTTCTAGAAGAATCTAGAAGACTAAAACCATTCCTAATTGCATTAGGAATGATAAATCATATTAGTCCCTCCCCTAGATCATTGGGCCGTACATAAAGCTCGAACCGGGCCCAGTTTAGTAAATTGGCTATAACTTCCTCAATATTCATCGGAATTGGATTTATAATATATCGTTGGAAAGCTCTTGTCAAGCCCCATCCAAATACACTACTATTGGACCCATATCATGGACCAACCAAACTGAATTGGCTATTTTCTCAAAATAATTTTTCAAAAACAGATAGAAAAGAAAAGAAATTAAAACTATCCGCAACACTAAACTTTCCACACTTTCGCTTCATTCGATTATGATTAGACGTGAAAGGTACTCATCACTAGGTTTGGCTTTGGGGAGACACAAATGGGTGTCTACAGAAACCCCTACTTTGACTGAGTTTGGAGAAACGCAAGTTTCGAAAACAAAAGTCAAAGTATCAATAGGGACGGAGAATGATTCAGAACGTTCTGCGATCCTAAACCAATCTTGTAACGCCAATACCTGCAAAATAACGTTAGTTAAACAGATAAAAGAGTTAAGAAACGCGTATCTTGCACCGTCTAGCACACGTCTCTAAGAGTAACCGATTTTTTGATGACCTCCTGCAAGCTAGAGAATGTCATCCCGCTTGAAAACTGCTACGCCTGTAACTGCTTCCAATATAGAAGATTGCTTCGCCTGAAACTATCCTCCTCTATGATAATATTCCACATCCAAGGGAATACTATCGAAGATTGTTTCTCTTGAAACAATCCTCAGTTGTTTGTGACAACTCTCCACAATCTAGGGAACGCCACCTTGTTGTTTTGATGTTCACTCGTCTCTGAACAAAGAGCTTCTTTTTTATATGTTCACGTGCCTCTGAACAAAGAGCTTCTTTTTGATATGTTCACACGCCTCTGGACAAAGAGCTTCTTTTGGATATGTTCACGCGTCTCTGAGCAAAAGAGCTTGTAGGAAATGTCCACGCGTCTCTGAACAAAAGAGCTTGATTGATATGCCCACGCGTCTTTGGAGCAAAAGAGCTTTTGAATGAAATGTCCATGGGTCTCTGAACAAAAGAGCTTTGATGATATGCCCACGCGTCTCTGGAGCAAAAGAGCTTGATGGAAATGTTCACGCGTCTCTGAACAATAGAGCTTCGGTACTTAAACGTTTGTTGCGATAATGTCTTGAAGAAAAAAATTTCCGAAGACCAACGTTTGTCGATCTCTAAAGCTCGCCTGAACTTTATTTCTGCTAAAACCAGTATGTCGGTGTCTCCGTGATTAGGCGCTTTAAGCTAAGAGAGACGATCTTTCATTAGGTCGATCACTTAGTGCAATTGTAATCAAACTGACTACTTAATCATGTCAAATTGCTTATAGGGGCTAACTGGCGTACCAAGGAACCCAAAATTGTTGTATGAGGTCGAAATCACCTTTCTGAGAGGCTTCGAGCTCCGTCGCTGCCGAAATATCTCTGGAGCCAAGAATTGGAGTAGGGTCTTCCCTATTCTGCTACACCTGTATTTATTTTTGACTATAGAAATTTGCCAATATTTTTAGCCATATTAGGGTTGACCTAAGGCTTAAGATTTTCTTAGGGTTGACCTAAGGTTTAATGTTGCTTGACTCATCGACTTGACACGACTCAAGGTATAAACTTGACTCGCTGATTGACTGACTCGAGGTTGACTCGACTCAAAGTGAAATGACACATTTGTTATACTCATGACCCGTGTGTGCATAGTGTTGATTATGCGACTCGAAAATGCAAAAAAAGCAAAAATTTTCCGTCATTTTTGTGGAGGGCACCGACTTTCTCCCGAAAAAGAAAGACGTGAAAAAGAAGAAGCGAAGTTTGAAGATGCATGTTGAATGAGCTTAGTCAGATGTTGTTTGATACTGTCTCTCAAGGTGCAAGGATTAATCCATCCTAGCCTATCTCAATGGTTGACTCAATGATGAAAGTATTTGGGTAACTTAGGCACGGAGGCTAAGCACTTCATACTTCTATGTAATGACAATTATGAGTGATGAGTGATGTGACAAGGCATGCTTCATCGTTATGTTAAGATTTCATGACAAAGGGTTCCTAAAGGAAGTATATTTGGTCCTGTATCTGTGCGGTGTGTGAAAGT